GTTGATTTATTTCAGTACTTTTTGCTTTCATGAATGAAAAAAAGCTACGGAAGTTTATGAAAACGGCCTTAACGCAAGCGTAAGTTCGAGCACTGAGGGATGATGTTAGCGGTGAAAGAGCGCTTTTTCTTGTCATCTCGACAACAAACAGACAGAGGAATTAGCACTTGGTTTCATGTCTTTCACTGGTGAAAATTTTAAGACAGCAAAGTTGCGAAAGACAATTTAAATAGCAAAGCTAAGGTTTTTAAAGTGACAGCGTGGCATATTAAAATTGTTTAAAAAAACTTACCTTCACGGCACGTCGTCACTTTATCCTTCTTTTTGTATAAAGTCCTGTCTAGCAGGGAAAAGCTCTAAGACATCGTTAGCCAAGTTAACCATTCCAAAGGATAGAAACGTTAAAGTGGTTTGTTGTTTTTGTGCTTGCGCTTGGAATAGTGCGAGTCAACAGATCATGAACAGCGTTCGTTTTAACTTCACACAAGACTTTTTCTTGTTCTTATGCTCGCCTGCTCGTCCGAGTACTGTAAAAAAAAGCCCTGGGAACGAGATTAACTCCGGGCGCTGGTTATTGTTGCTCAATGAAATTTTTAAAGCAGCTGACGCATCGCAGTAAATTTTTATTTTTTTCGCGTGGAAATTTGCCTTTTCTGATCAAATCATTTTTTTTCCTTGTGCCTTTTTATACCCTCCTTCTCTCTTTTTTTTTCTAAAGCACAAAAATTAGTTTGTTATATCCTCGGTTTGTGACACATATTCTCCTTCAATCAGATACAGACACCTTATAATTCCCTTGTGTCAGCTGAAACAGGGAGCGAATGAAACTGCAAACGCAAGCCCTGCATTTCGTTTATTTTCCGCTCTTAAACTGTCTTTAGCCAAAAAAGTTCACACCGCAAACCGAAATTAATCGTTCGCTTGGTTGGTTGGGTTAAAAGAAGCAGTTACATTTGTACTACTCTTTTTGAATTATTATTCGCTCTACATTTTGGACTAAAAATGTTCGCTTGCAAAAATTAAGTTCAGCCTTGTTAAGAGATCGGAATCGTAACCTCCAAATGACGCGGCCGGGAGAGAGAAAAATGAGGGACTACAGACAAACCTCAAGCTTTTGACTTTTTTAATCTGTCAACATCTGTCAAAAACGCAGCAGCCGCTATCAACACTCGACATGATCACAATCTCTGTCAATGGCTGACAAACCTCAGGGATGTCTGGAAAAAAATTCCAAACACAACGTCGCTGAAACCAGAACAGACTCAAGCGGTGAAGGCTTTGTTCCCGTGGGGCCTTTGGGTATTTTTTGGGTGGGAATGTGCCGCTCGGGACTCCAAATTGGCACCCCGTTCTAAAAAACATTCCCCCTAAAATTGATACCTCGTTCTAGAAATGGGCCAATTTTTTATATTCAGTTCGTCAGAGTTTGTAAATTGAAATAGCCCCGTTTTTTTTTCAGAGATATTTCTTTATTTGTTCGACTTATACATCAAATAAATGCTTCTTCATAATCAGGAACAATTAAATAAATAATTTCAAATGGCTGCTTACAAAACTGGAGCTTTCGTGCCTTCGATATATTATTAGGCCTTTCCCGATTGCGCTGAGCACCTTTTGAGCACCTTTTTGAGTTTGGAGCACTATTTTGCATTTTGAGCACCCTTAAGCACTTTTTCGCACTTTGGGCAACATCTGAGCAATATTTCACATTTCGAGCAAATTTCGAGCAACATATGTCTTCTAAAACATTTTAAAGCAAAAACTGTGTGTCGCTCGCAACGAGAATCGTGTTCCAGGTCATAAATTTGAAGAACTAATGATGTTGTCAAGAATAAAAGACCGTTGTCATGGAAAGGCACTAGGTAACTGTTCACAACTTTTAGCACTTTTTGAGCACTATTTTGAGATTTTGAGCACTTTTTGAGCACTTTTTAGCCATTTTTGCCAGCACTTTTTTAGGATTTTACGAGCGCAATCGGGAAAGGCCTAAATATTATACCCCGTTCTAGAAAACGCCTCTGAAGTGGATACCCAGTTCTAAATCAGGAGCTTCAAAATCACGACCCCGTTGGGCGGCACATACCCGTATAGGCAAAGTATGGGAGTACCTCCCCCCCCCGGGGCTCTGTTGGCTGGGAAAGATGTATACTTGCGATAATTCCAACCGGATTTGGGAACTTGAAGTTTGATTTATGAAGTGTTTAGCATGGCGCAAACATCCTCGAGTGCTAGCGTCTTCGTTATTTCTCCACTCAACAGCATTGTGGAAGAGCAGGTAAGAGAAATGAACGGCCTTGGGCCCATGGGACCGGTTCTCTGGACACCAAGCAGTAAGGATCTCGAATGGGAAGGTTCAAATGATTCACGCTTCAGCTGAAGACTGCTAATGCAGAGATCCTGAAAGCAGCGGAACCCCGCTCGGAACATTTCTGTACTTGTCATCGAAGAATACCACACGGTTGACAAATGGTAAATTTGTTGTTTTGAATTCCGGGGGGTACTCCTGAGAATTATTAGTGGGGGGTGTGCCGCCTGGTTCTCCAAATACTGGTCCTGTTTCAGACCAAAAAATGTCATTTTTTACACCCGTTTTTAGACCTGGCCTCTAAGACTTTATGTCATCATTACCATGTCATTACTTTGATTAGAACAGCAACAAAAAACATTTGTTAAAGTACTTTCGAATTCGCATATTTCTCTTTCTTTTTTCCTCATCTCTTGGAGTGAAATGATAAATACATTCGAGAACCATACCCGTTTTCAGACCAAAACGGCGCAAAAACCCTACCCTTTGGGGCGGCACATACTTATATGGCTTGTATAAGGGAGCACCCCCCGGTTTTTACTTTGTGTTTCTTCCTACTCGAAAAAGTAACTTCCCTTAAGATATCAGTGTACTTATCGATCGATCTTTACTTACCGATGTTTAACAGCACTTCAGTTAGATGTATTCGTGTGTACCTGTATGTATCTGCGCGTTACTCGGATTTTAACCATATGTAACTCTATGGTGTTTTAGTCAAGATCGATGACGTGAGGTCTACCGCTGACAACTTGAAGAGCAATGACAGTTCAATGAGAGAGGGGATCTCATTGGATGCGCGTAACTGATTTGAAAGGCGATACGAACTTCACGCACCAAAATCAGTCGGCCGTGAAGGGTCAAAAGCTTGGGCTTTGTCTGTAGTCCCTTATTTTCTCTCTCCCCACCGTATCTCGCCTTCCTCACGTGGGGTGATTTTCAAGCGCGCTCGCATTTTACTTGCTTTACTATCCCTTCAAAGAAAATGAGGGACTACTCGTAGTCTACCCGAATTGCTGCACATCGACATTTCGAAAGGATGCAAATGAAGAGTTCGAGTAGATGGCTTTCATTCCATGAAAAGTTATCAATCTATTTTTTTTAAGACAGGTAGCACCTACGAGTACGTATGTTGTCGTTAACCGTTTCATAGCGCAAATCTCCATATACAAATTCTCTATATCGATTTCCATACATTTCAATTAAACTAGACGGTGGAAACGACAGGAAGTTCGAATTATAAATCTCACAAAAAAATCGATCACTGATGCTTCGGATAAACAAATGCCGAATTCACAAACTGGCTCTAGATGAAAAAACCTACCAACTCCTTGCCATGATTCTTTATTCGTATTGTTCATCTAACAAGTCATAGTTTTGAAGACAAGGGCAATTTTGCTGTTCACGATAAAGATTGTCGAAATTTTTAAACTCCGACCCAAGTATGCTATCCGCTGAATGTCAAACGACAGTCCCGCTAAAATTTGGACAATCAACCAATCAAAATCACTACCCGGTTTTCGGGTAGTGACGTCACTGGACGGCATTAACGGTCGGTCGATTCAGATGTAGTAATCGACTCGAATTAGTGTTTGAAATTCAGGATACAAATAGCATATGTCAACATGCACGAATCAGTTCGAATTTTTTACGCTCAGTTAGTGTAGTTCATGATGCTTTCTTTTAAAAATCCCGCTTCAGAGACCCAAGTTCTTCGAAAGTGGCTTTAAACTATGATGCCGCTGAAAGGGTGATTTTTGATGTCCTAAAGTGAGTTTTTAAAGAAATCTTTATTATATACATGTGACGTCTGGCTTTGGCATCTTTGCATTGAAACTCCTTCTGTATTCATTTAGTTGATGACTCTGTCATTAATACATTCATGTATATCTGATTGACTGACATTAAAAAGCGCAGCGCCTTATTTCCGCTGCATTGGCGTTGTACTGTTGAATTCTAGGAACAGCAGGTGCTTGCTAGGCATTGTCCGTATTATTCTCTACATTGTTTGTTTGTCATCCAGCGCAGCTCTGTGAAAAAAAAAAGGAAAAAAGAACTGCAACCGAATTACAAAGTCTTGTTTTATGTTTAAAGCTGTTTTAGAAAGTTCATATTTTAACCTAATGTTAAATTACTAATTTTCGATAAATATTTACTTATTTCCTAGAGTTCCTGTTGTTAGATAGAAAATTTAAATTTGATGTATAATTTCAAACTTTGCCTGGTTTATGCCACACTACGGACTTTCTTCCTTATTTTTGTGACATGCACTCTTTTGAAACTCTACTTAGTATCCTTCTTCAGTTCATTCCTGAGTTTCAAAATTCTCTTATTTTGTAGTTTGCTGAAATTTTTGAATTCAGAGAGACAAATCCGTTCCGAAGAAACTTATTACCTGCGAATTGTAAACAGCAGAGCGAATTAATAAAAGAATCGTTTGTAGTCATCTGGCTCAAGTAACAAGTATTTTCCCTTAGTGTGAGTGTTTTTAAATTATTTATTCGCTAAACAGCTGTTGTGAGCGTATAAATTGGTTTCTTTGTGCTGTCGCTCCAAGGCACATTTATTGAGCGGGTATTGTTTATACTCTGATTATTACACCCTTTCAGCCAATCGTAGTCGCCGGTTTTTCAAGACAATGATATGCAGCATTAATGCCTGACTAATTTATGCACGTTCATGAAAATATGGAACAAAAGTAAAATAGAAAGCGGACTGAAATCGCCGAGAAAACCACTTGTTCGAGGCGTCGGAGTTGATTCCGGCAACCTTCATCGGACGTGCCGGAAAAAAATATCTTTTATCGTTAAAACTGAAATATATTTACGAAAAATAGTTTTCTTACGACCTGCCAAGAAATACTTGTATTTTTTTCCTCGCATGTGAGTCACCATTCATTCATCGTTCGAACATTCTGTCAACTATTGATTCTAAAGAGCATAGAAGACTGTTTTGTTGGAGACAGCGAAGCAGACCTTTAATGAACTTGCATCAAATAGCAAAAAGAAATGATTGCCAAGAAGAGTAGCATCGGGTCAACTTCTACCCCTAAAGCGAAGCCGTCAACTACATCTTCATGGCCTCTGCCAAGTTTACGACTGGTGATAGTGTGTGTTTCGCTGGCAGTAACACTCACCATGTCAGCGATGATTATTTTCGTAGATGTCCGCGCACCGACGTTGGCTGATATTTTTCTGTCTACTATGTATTTTCCTCTAGGTCAAGGATTGCAGCTTAAAGCTCGGCGCTGGTCAAATAACAAGACTGAGTGCTCGCAATTTTTTAAGTCGAGAGACGAAAATTTCAGGCGATTTGACGGGTTACAGTGCGGTCATGCATTTTGGTTGAGTACTGCGAATATAGAAGAAAAGGACCGCTACGTGAAAAAGATTGCGACTCATTATAAACTGTTCGAGAGGGAGTCGCTGGCTAGCAAGTATTTCACCGAATATTGGCACGAAAAATCCAAGGATCCGTTACCAACAAGTTTTTATAATGAGGAAACTGAGAACGCTCCTAGGGCTGGCAATGAATTTCGCGCTTTTCGCTGGGATCCCCTTGTTCCACTGCCAGCAGAGTTTTCATCGACTACAGGAGATAACCCTTGGATCCATCGGGCCATGGCTACATCTCGTCACATAATTTATATTTTCAGGTGAGATACATAAGGTTAGAACTTTAAAGGTCTCAAGGGAATCATTAGATGCAAAAGGCGTCTGTATTTATGACAATCACAAGGGACTGGTTCGGTTTGATGCATACTTTGTTGTACAATCGGAGGGTAAGTCGTTCGTTCAAATGTATTTTAATTCCCCGGATAAGTGCTTGCGGCAATTTCAACTTTTAAAAAACTTTTGATGCCTGTGCAATATTAAAACCATATGGACTAAGTCTATTAGTTTTTTGCTCTCTCGGTGCCTTTTTGTATCTGAGTTTTTGTCATTCTACATACCCCATTATACACTTATAGATTTCGTAAGTCTACGGTTGCAGTAGTGGCTTTTAGGCTAGCAGTTAAAAAAATCATTCAAAAAAAAAATACTGTATTAAAAAACAACAAAAAAAAGTTCGACAGCATTTAAATGTGGAACTTCGGAGCAGAGGCAGTATGTTCATATCGTACTTAAACTCTACTGATTCAATATCCGGTAGTTTTTGACAATTTTATACTTTATTGTCGGTTGGCATGCGTTTTGAACAAAGAGCCGTCAAATTGCTCGAATTTTGGACATTGTCTCTAATTGAACGGTTCAGAATTGCTAAGTTGTCAAGAAACCACTTAAAATGTTGTTTAAAGATCGCTTTTTTGACACGAATTTTGAGGAATAGGTATTAAATGTTAAACTGCGCTGAAAATAATTACCTTTGTTTTGTTTATACTGTTAGTGCTCACTTTGCTCTTCATTAAATGAGGCAAGGTTTTAAAAACACTTTTTACTTGAAACTGAAATATCTCTGTCAATAAATAAGAAACACTATGCAATTTTTACTGAACTTTTTTTAACAAAACCATTAAGATTAATATTACCTTTAAGGAGATATTAGAGGACTAACCCTAACTCATCTTAGAGGAAGAGAGCAGGACCTTGTTTCGATCTTTTCAATTTGGGGGTGGTTGCCAGTAAGTCGGTATTTATATTTCCGCACAACATATGCCAGCTTAATTGATTGGGATAATTAAAAAAAACAAACGATATTTCTGCAAATTAAACCAAAATGAGAATACTCACACTATGTCTTGGCGAAACTTATTATTTCTGCGAAAACATTTTCAGGTTTGTGTCAAGTTATCAACTGTTCTTTAAAAGTTTTACAGCGATATCAAATCTAAACATCATTTTAGTAGTACCTAATAGCACAAATATCCCCAAAGAACGTACCCTGTCAGCTGCAAAAGCGATCTAATCTTTCGTTGCTGTTGACTGAAATATGGGTTGCGATATGCGATTCCCCGAAACCACGAGTCATTTAATTTGTTTCTTAGTTCTCAATTTGTTTTTTTCTTGTTAAAATATTTTTTTCGTGGTAGTGCAACCAAAAGTAGGGCATGTAAATTAGCGCCGCAGCGAATTAACATTTCCATTGCTTTGTTCAAACTGGTGATATATCGTTTGACATACACAAGGTTTCTCAGTACCAGGCAAATAAGAGTTATTAAAAAACCAGAGCGCAAAGAGGGTAACTGCAATTAAAGGAAACTTTCTTCATATTAAAATAGGTGACTATGCCAATAAACTGGCTTTCACAATACCGTCCGATTTTCTATAAAAAAAACCAAACATTTTGACTTATTCAATTAAGAGAAAGCAAATAAAAAGGAAGGAACTGATTGTTATGTTGGGTAGAAAATGCACATAATCAGGACCTCTCTTATAAGTCAGTCTTGTTCCTACTTTTTAATCCATTAACCTTCATTTACAGCTTGCACACCTTATTAATTTTTAAACGGAAATTAACTTATTCTCTTGTATTAAAACTGAAACAACTTTCAATAAGACAACCCATCAAAATACGTAATATTTGAAATCTAGGAGGCGTTAATGACAAGCAATAATATTCAACGCCCCCACGCCCTTCGAATATTTAGAGACACTTTGTCGATAACATAAAGAGCAAAAAACTAGCAAATGAATAAATAAGTAAAAATAATAATGATGATGATGATAATGATGATGATGATGATCACATTAATAATAGCACTTACATTACTTTATAACATTTGAACATGATCAATGAAATTTATCATAAGATGACCAACTAATACTGAATGAAATAATATTGAATGGAATCAGGGAAGAAATGAACACCAGAATGCAAATTTTCCACGTTCTTCGCTCAAGCAAAGAATCAGTTAATCAAAATCATTCAGGCAGTCAAATGATAAATGAATAAATAAATAATCAGATAAAGAAATGAGTCAGCCAGTCAGTTTATCAATTAGTCGATTAATTAATCAGTCAGTCAAGCAGCAATCAATCAGTAAGGAAGTCAGTTAATTAATACATATGTTTAAGTATTGTTTAAGTTGTTTTTAAAAATATACTTTTCCCACTTTTAAAGTTGCTGTCAGTAAAGCAGGGCATATAAAAGTAAGATACCAGTCGGTCTGGTCTTCTTGTCATACCCTTTAACCCAATATTTTACCCCAACGGTCGCTATAGCTGTCACCTTAGGAGTAATCAAACATATTGCTGGGGTAGTTATATCTCAACATGTTTCCTTGACAGAAAAGTTTTAATGCTATCTTTTGTATTCCAGGCAACGTCGTGTTTTTGCCCGCCTATTAGTACAGGGGTTTAATAACAGTAAAGACCCCAGACTTGGGGTAGAGTTTGCTGGAAGGTGAGACAAAAATCTTTGCTCTATCATTTTTACGAAGCCGATTTCATATCTGAAGTCTCAAAGTGTCCCTTAATAACTTAAGTGTTTGAAACATAAAATTTTGGATCAATGAGTCCTCGACTGTCCGCCATTGTAGTATTCTTAAAGTAACAACGGTGAAATACTTTTAAAAGCGCAAAGGTTCTCTTGGCTTTCTGCAGAAAGTATGTCCAAATTACATGCCATAACGTTCCCTGAAAATGCATTTGATACAAGGCTGATGTCAACGTATTATGCCAACATAGCTTTTAGAACCGTATCATCTCATCCCAGTATTTAACTACTACTAAGAGATAACGTAAGTGTTAACGCAAAGTGATTAAGTAAAAATCCAGATAAAAAGGAAAGAACCAAACACAATGAACACGTCGGAATGTAAAAAGGTACTACTGTACTATTGTCTCTACTAAACTTCTGATTGGTTTAAACATCAGATTTTCCCAAGCAGCATGTATATTAATCCCTTGTTTTCTAACCAACTTCCTAATAACAAAATCTCGTCCAAGTAACACAGAAATCCTACGTGAGGAGCATGTAAAACTGTAAATTTTTCTTGGCTGTTGTTTGCAACTCTTATGATTGGTCGGAATCTTTTAACACGCACAAAAAAAATACTCGTTTATTTCGTAAACAACCTAGGTTTACTACGTAGGCTTATGCATTCTCTGTGTGAAAATGAAAACAATCCTATGTGAGGAAAGCGCATTGCGCCCCGCGTAACAAAAGAAACTGTTCAGGGTCTTTCCCGTATCATGAATTAAAATCACCTAAGTGATAACGTTCGTTTCTTTATGCTGCGTTTTATATCAGGCTTTCGTCTCTTATGTTAAACTATTACGTCAAAGTAGCTTAACTGTATCATCCTATCGCAGTATCTTACTATTACAAAATTAATAGGGAAAAAAGGATAACCTACGAGGTGATTATTTGGTTAGACAAAACAAAGCAAAACAAATGAATCACTATTGAGAGCTAGTATAATAATCTTGCTGATGATGTTTGTTACAATGTTTAAAATAAAACCTATAGTCACCTTGTTCTTTCTCAGGTTGGCAGGTGTTATGGCAGAGCTGATAGAAGAGAATGAGCCCACCCCCTTGCGGAAGTTTTTACTGAATGTACAGTGGGGTATACGCTACATTATACGAGCCACACCCCTTCTATGCGCGCATAAATGTTAGTATTTACATTCACTCGAGTTATAATTTCATTTACAAATTAAAGTTCAAAATAAATTAATGTATCCCTAGCCGGAATCCGAAGTGTACATAAATGTACTAATAAAATCACTATTTATAACACCCTGTTTAGAATGATAAAAATTACAAAAAAATCCTTAAATACGAGTCTATCGTTTTTAGGAGACTAGGCGTATAAAGGATCACTGCCTGGCTAAAAATATATATTTATAGGGTCTATTTTTAATTACACTGTACAGTCAATGTTTGCTCCTATGGAGAAAGCTATGTAAGACCGAGTTATGAAGAGCAACAAATAAACGTAAGTTCTTTATTTCATTGATAATTATGTCTTTTGATTACAGTGTCCACTGCTCTGTCTATTTTGTCACATTGGACCAGTGAGCTTCTAAACTGCACTTGGTCCTCACTGCGCATGTCATTAACTTCCCAGTTGTTTGCCTGCTGGAGGCATTTGAATGGTAAGCATACTTACGTCAGATACAGTACATGCTTTACGCATTTCTCATCGAGTCAGTGGCTGATTGCCTAAAACGGGCTGGCCAAGTTTGCCGATGTTACCGACTTTTTATCGCGATAATTAAAACATGAAGACAGCCAGCCCTGACCGGAGCCACCATATGTTTGCCCACAGATTGTGTGTTACCTGCTGTTGTTTTGCTGGTTTGGTTCTCCAAGCTGGCCTGGTAACTGAGCATGATTACAATCTCAGCCCGGTTAGACTGGATACCGGCATCACGATACTCAGGGATTTAACCGGGTCTTGGCTCAGCCAAAGTTGATGTTTGTAATATTTGCTTTTAAAAATAACGTGACGAGATCTCGACAAACAGCAAACCGGCCCAGCCCGGCTCATGTAATCAGTCCCTTATAATGCACACGATATAACTATTCTTGGTCAGCACAATCAAGCGAAAAGAGAACCATCCGCTTATGGCTCAGTCATGTTTTTCCAAGCTTTTCCTTTGCATTTTGAAATTCTTGCTTTTCCATACTTATTAATACACCATATTAATAATTTTTCTAGGATCAAGTCTGGGAGACCTGCACTTCTTTGGTGTAGCAATGTTGCTCTTATTTCTTCATAAACTACACATGGTTCTTACGGTAAGAACATCTCAGTTTTAAATATTGAGAGACCAAATAAAGGTGGCTCTTTTTAATGTTTAAGCTTTTATTGGTAGCATTCGAAAAAAGAAGCTTCTTTATTAATTTGAAAACGTATTTGACTGGAAAGAGGCATCTCTTTTTCAAAGGTTGTTTCCTTTTGTTTAATTTTCAGCCATATGATCAGATGGACTTTTCTCAAGTGAGGTGTCAGAGTATGTTGATGTCCGCCATCGAACGTGCTCGAAGACAAAACTTACTCAATCAGGATTTGTTCTTACAGCCAAGCTAATTTATTCTTTAACAGAAGTAAAAATGTCTTTGATACCTGAAAAGAGAGGTTTTAATTTATTGAAATATTGTGAAGAATTAATATAATTTGCGTACAGCATGTACATGAAAGTTAATAAAACTGTTGAAACTTTATCGAGCTCTATCTGAAATTATCGTGAGTGTCCCTTCGAATTTACTCCTGGCCAGCCTGACTGTTGAAAACAAACCCGGCTTATTGTGTCACATCACTCACATGTATATGGAATGTCTGTTTGCGTACTAGATTCAGGTAATGTGTTCGCGAGGATCATTTAAAGAACGATAAATATATTCAGCATAGTGTCACATTAGAAGCACAAATCTATCTTACATTTACCATTTTCTTAACAACAGGGACTATTACGTCTTCCGACCAATCTCTTACAAGAAGACTAACAACTTGCAAAGGTTGTCGGGCGTCCCGTTCAATTATTAAAGAGGTTTTGACATTCTGCCTCTCAAATCACTCCTAGCACATTACTGAAAAGTATGTTTTATTTCTTTATTGTGCAAATTACCTCGAAATGTTTGGGAGGCTTTGACCAATATTTAAATTTGTATTTGACACAAGTAGAGTTACAACACATTTATGTTTAAAGATATGACCAAACAGCTGTTGCGAAGTGACTCACCTTTTCTCGCGACACTTTTAATTTGAAGTCGACAGTAATACAGTTGAGTTGATCCTACATCTCCATAAACCTTTCCCGCATTGCTGTTAGCAAAGGCGCCAACTTCAGCAAACGCGTGCATAAGGAGGTCTGATCGCTTAAAGAACAGTCTTTTACAAATATAAATCGGGGGCAGATCCAGGAAAATTTGATTGGGTGGGACCTGGGGGTACAAACTTTGGTTCAGAAAAGACTGTTGAACGTTTTGTGGCAAACTACTTCTCACAGAGACGACCACGTGTCTCTCAATCTGTGAACGTCGGTCGCTGTGGCGCGGGAAATGCTGCTTTGCAAGCAGATGCGAACAGATCATAGGAGGGTACCAAGAACAGGGGTTTCAATAAAAATTGAAGTGGCCAGCAGGCCTTCGAATAGAGCAGCCGACTGTATCAGCAGGGGGCCGTTGGTCCCCTTTTTCTATTGAGGGAAGGGGGTAGAGGGTCTGGGCGTGTTCTGCCCCATAAAATTTTGAAATTTCAAAGCCCTAAGATGTGATTTTCAGAATTCTGGGGCTAAATTTGAGGACAAAAGAGCGTCTTTTTCATTCGAGAAAATGTAGCTTTCAATTTACCAGTCACACAATCAATTCCTACAAGCAGTAAACAAATGATGAAAACTTAATCAAGCACCTTTGCACGTTAACAAATTCTGCGTAAACCTATAAAAAAGCTTGTGAAAAAATGACTGAAATATAGCGTTTACATGACTACAGCATAACTTTAAACAAGTGGACTTTACGAAAACCCATCATAACTACGTTTTCTTCAGATTTTATAATACATTTTTTGATTACGTCGTTCAAACTAGTTGTTCTTTTTTCAAGAAAAAAGTAACCTCTATGAGCAAAGTAGCTGACGCGTTTCGTCGGCCGTCCGTTCTTATTGAAACCCCTGCCAAAAACAATTACATTTTTGAATATCAAGTGGCAAAATGCAACGCGCGTTTCATTAAAAAAAAAGAACAGTCAGTTAAAAAATGATATACAATCCTGTCGATGTAAGAGTTTCAGTCTCAAATAAGCGTCAGGTCTGATAGGGGGGTCCGGATCCCCCGGAACCCTCCCCCTAAATCCGCCACTATAAATATCGATTACAAACCTAATTTTGAAGTTAATGTTATCTTTGGCATCGTGACCGCGTGTATACTCGATTTCATGAAGATCTCCTCTGTTTTTATCTTATTTCATTTTATTTTTCGATTTCTTGTGGCTTTGCCGCTGACTGGGATAACTCTGTTAGAATCCCTCTCAAGGAAACACATCCGCTTTCATATCCTTGTTGATTGTGATTCCGCCATTGGGCTTTAAAATCGACTAAATCCTTGCTTGGATTTTAGTGACGGAACACAAAATCCGCTTTTTGATTGAAGAATATATATCGGTACCTTCCCATGGAATAAAAAGGACAAGACTTCAAAGTGTATCTAACCAAATGTATTTATTACAAAGTTGAACTTTATTAGAGGCAATATCGTATTGTAGACAATAAATTCTGAAACATGTCTATACATATCTACACAAGATCATATATTCTGTAAATATAAACTACTCGTACAAAATACACAGAAAAACAATTGAATCTAAGGTTCTCCGGACCAAACCAAGTGCTTAGGATAGTCTTATAAAGACCTTAAACTTCGAAGAAGTAACAATCAAAATTGTTACTTCTCGTTAGCCTTTTTTTTTTTATCCTTTTCGATTATTTCATAAGTCATAGGCAAGTTACAATGTAATAAATGAATAAACAGTGAAACATACACTAATAATCCTACGACTTCTACATCAATCTGATGAAGTAGTGTGACCCGGAGATCCCACAAGCGAAATTCCCGCAGCTGGCCTGCAGCAGCTATCAAGAGGCTAATAAATTTATCCAGTTTCTTTTTTATATTTTTTACTAGGTAGATGCAGAAAATGTGGAAATAGAAGATGTCGGAGTCGGGAGAGAGGGAAAAACCAGTCTCTTCCAAGCATAGTTAGCATAGAGGACTACCATTAACTATGTTCTAAGCGACAGTTAAACAAGCTCTTCGCTGCCGGTGTGAACGGTCGACCATCACAACAAAGATCGCCAAGTACCTTGATCGTTGCTACGCTAGGAATCTAACAACAGCTTTGAACGTCAAAGTTCATCGCGTCAATCTTACTAGTAACGCAGACCTTTACGGCTGTCTTCCTACATTTACTCATTAAATAATGTCAAGAAAAAATAACCTGGGTTGGTACCAACAAATTACCCCTATTCGGAATGCTACCCCGACCTTTGGTAGCAGAAACAGAGGACGGCCATCTTAAGAACTACATTGAATTACTGATGGAGAAAAGATCGAGAAATTGAAAAAGGCTTCTTGGTCATCTGTCGAATTTCGAAGCCCTAGCAGTTTTTAGCAAAAGCAAGTAAGTGCACATTACGTCTCTGCAACTGACACCAGCATAATTCATCTGTGTATTCACGGGAGCTTTGCGAGAAAAACAAGTTTATTATAACGTATGTCCGGTTCCGTGGACGGACAAGATTTCCCCCTTTGTCCCGATTTTGTTGGACCATATAGCCATATACAAAATCCTTTTTTGGCCAAGCTTGATCGGTCAAGATGACTGGATATTGGCCTCGTTCTACTTTTTTTTGTGTCTTGACCTTATTAACCTCGACAAAAAGGAACTTGGCCAAATTCCAGCCATCTTGACCGAACAAGCTTGGTCAATAACGCATATATACACAGTCCACTATTTAAAATCATTCCCTCAAACACCCTCTTGTGATAACTATTGCGAAGGTTTTGTTCTTCCTCATGCAGGCTTTCCTCATTATTGGTTTCCGATTCCTAACTTGAGTTTTATAAGCTCAATCTCAAATGCTCTAAAAAAGGTTTTTTTAATGAGAATTTGCAAGCTGTATGCAGGGTGCCCCTCAGTTTGTATAACAAGCGCTGAAACGGTCTCTCGCTTCGCGCTCGCGCCCAAAAATTTGACTTGGTGTCTCCAATAACGTCCGTTAGTAGGGTTTGTGTGCCTCATTAAACGTAAATCAATGTCTGGGATAAGAGGTCTTTCAAATAAATAGAAATCATGGAAGTTTGCAGAGGACTTCTACTTGTGCACGGGAATCACTTGAAAAACTGATCCTGAAGCTGCAAAGAAACAAACGCGGCGGTTAAAAATTTCATTAATTACCGATTTAAAAAAAACATTAAAAAAGACATTGTTATCAAAACTCATCACTGGAAACAAATCAACTTTCAATGAGATACAAACGTGAAACGAAATGAAATAAAAAGCACTAAGGCAAAAACGATTCATTTATTTCAAGAGCTTTTACGAAGAGCTTTAGTTTTCTCATTGACGAGACTTGGAATTGTGTCACAGATTTATGGCCAAATTGACTATTTGGGTGAACAAAATTAATCAAGAAAATTGAAAAAAGAGAGCGAGGAGCTTTTCTCTCTTTTTAAATTTAAATTAAATTTACAAATGAACCGAAGTGTCAGTGACAGTACTTACAGAGGCCAATTTCTACGCTTGATAGTCCAACCAGATTGGTCGGTCGTCCCCTTATTCCATTCGCCATTTTCGCTTTTGAACGGTTTGTACTTGAAGACGTTTGGTTCAGAGTTGATGATTTCCTTCTTTTGGAGGAGGGCGAGGAACCTCGCGAACGCCTTCCATTTGTGGGTGACGAGTTCCGTGACTGTGAAACGGGGGATGACGGTCGGGAGGATGGTCTTGAGGAAGGTCGTGAGCGGGAATCATATAGTGTCGCAAACGTTGCCGGATGTGAGCGACTTAGACTTGGTGTTGTGGGTCTGGAACGAATGCTGGGTGACCGGCTGATCGGGGCTCGGCGAGTTGAAGAAAGGTTACCTTTATTTTGTGCAAGGCTGGTAGTTGACGTATTCAGATTCATGGATGAACCGGAAAGGCTTCCTAACCTAAAGTTTGGTTTTGAAGTCGATCGTTGATCAGGACTGACGCTGCCCGCTCGGCTGGATCCGCGGCTTGATCGTCGCGAGCGTGTTCGACCTCTTCCGCTCGAACTACTGCCGCTAATTTTTGACTCTCTTAGTTGTCTGTCTTGTTTAGCAAGACGTTTTGCAATTTCTTGAAATTCGGTTGGCAAGTGGCTGTAAGCCTCGACATTGTGAGTGTCTGTCCTGGGATCCACATGCTTGGGGGGTTTCAGTTTATCTGTGCGAACCTAGAGATAGCAAGTTAAAATAGCATAATTTACAAGCGAAAAAAGATGGTCATACCTAGGCAATTAATTAGATGATCATCCATTTGTGATTTGCCTAAATCCTCTGGTTATATTTCCATAACTAACTTTAGACGATATCAATACAATTGACGTCAATTCTTGGTTCTCGTCCCCCTTGATTTGCATAATTCTTGAAAGCTGAATCCATGAGCCACCATTGCGCGTTCTAGAAGTAGATAGTCATTACCTTAACTCGTCCTCCCCCAGGTACATGTCCAATGTTGCTGAAGGAATTCACTTTTGGTTTTGCCTTCGTCTTGAAGCCCATTTTCTTTGTGTCAGGTTTCCGCACACCTTCACCTGAAATCATTGTAGTTATATAAGAAGAGTTAGGGGGCAGCGATTTCTTCGTTTTCAGCGTTTTCTGTCTGATCAATACCTACCTGGGACTTTAGCTTTAATACTTGGCGTACTGCTTTTACCTTTCAGCTGGAAAGGAAAAGAGAAGTTTATTTTCAAAACATAAGGAAAAGGGTAAAGAAAACGGAAAAAAGGTAAGCGCTTGTGTAAAATGAATAATTTGATCAACCGAAGCAGGTTAAGAATTGGTGAAAAGATACAAACTGGCGCGATCACTTCTCGCATATTAAGAGAAACTGAGCGGTGTTCAGATGTTCGGAACGGCGTCAAACTAATTGTAGCCGTTCAAAAGTTTTTCAAAGGCAAATTATTGTTCACCCAAAAAGCATTGAGAAAACCCAATCGACTGTCAGTGTATATCACACAGTGATCACATGTTGTCTACTGTTTGCAAATTTTAAAACATCATAACATAATTGAAAGACTTTTGATTAATATGACTTGTTGGCAAACGTTTTAAGTAAATGAATAAAAAAGATGGGATGTTGATCACTCATACCTCCTTCGTTTTTCCGTTTTCTGCTGTATGTGAAGTTGAATGCATGTCACCATTAGGAACAAGCTTGTGTATTTCTGTAATTTTTAGAGAGAATTATTTGATAGCGAAGAAAATTAAAGATATTCAGTGGACTCAGGACCAGTCACATATTTTTATAGCAATTAACCAAAAATGACAGGTGAACTTAACATGTTTTGACTAACTCTTACTCACTTTTGGAATAGAAGCTCTCTTTCAGCTTATTTCAAAATAGGGTCTATTCTAACGTGGTATTCGATTGTTTTCAAATAGTTTTTTAAAATACCAACCCCGTCACAATTAAACAATAGACGCCACCGTGGCCAACCATGACATTTTTTACACAGGATTTCATACGGCGGCCAGAATAACCAGAATACTAACTACACTGGTAAAGCTTTTTTCAGCCTTTCGAAACGAGAAACACTTACTTTTCTCTACTCCTACTTTAAAATCCAAGTCGACTGCAGACATGCTATCATCGGAAATGTAAGATTCTAAACTGTTCTTCCTCGAACTACATGGAGTCTTGGAGAATGCTTGCTCGGTTGTCGGAGAGTCTGGGTAAAAGTCCAAATCACTCTTTCCGTCACGTGATTGTGATAAGAACCCGGATGTTGGTATCTCACTATCTGTGAACACATCCGAACTTAAGTCTGATAAATTCACGTTTAATTCGCTGTAATCTCCGTTCTGCAGTGTTTCATTTTGCTCGTTAACGTATAGCAAGGTTCTGTTATACCGGCTCATTCTTTCGGGATCTGGTATATCTCCTGCTTTAGTTTCGTGCGAGTTATTTACGCCATCAGTCCTGGAGTTCACGACATTTACTACGGCGTCTTTTTCGTCGACAACACCCTCCTTAGTTATTTCGGTAGCGTAGTTAAAAGGTTTAGACTGCGCACTAGTTTTTTCGTCATCCCTTAGCTCAGGAATGTCCATACTCGCAGAGATAGAACGGATAGGAGAATAATCCCGTGCTCTCGCGCCATTTCCAGAGGTACTCATTTGGAGATGATAAACAGGAGCGTCATAAATATTTGTAACATTGTTCGTAGTTTTGCTACTTACACCTTCTATGCCTTCTTCAGCGAGAAGCGAGGGACTATTACAATTATCAAAATCTGTTTTCCATGAGTCGACTTTTGCAATGCTTTCAGCGATACTCGATGATGTTGTGTTAGCTTTGCTACCATGCGTAGTTGCATTCTCGTTAATTCTTAACCTTTCCAAAGCGGCATGGATTTGCGAGCTGGTATCCAACTTTTTATGTTCAATAATATTGCTGATTTTCTTTCCGCCAGAACTTCCATGTGATTCGTTAAGCTCCAATCCATTTTTGTCTGGTGTGCTCAAAACTCTTGGGGTCATATCCATGCTACCAAAATTCTCAGACATGGCGCTTCTTGCTGGCGACGCGTTCAGCGAGCTTTCCATTGTTTGGTTCAAGGTTTTAGATGAACGCGATGAAGTTTTTATCTTTTTGCGCGGACTACTTAAAGCAATATGTTCATCGTAGAATTTGACGTTTCCTCCCATCGAGTATTTAAAGTTTGTGAATTCTGACTCGTACGAAACTGATGACTCATCTTGAAGTAAAAAGGGTTCTTCTTGAATCCTGACTTCACTCAGATGTGGGAGATATTTTTGATCTGTGGTAAACGCGTGTTCTGGAATGATAACACTTCTATCACCTTTCTTTCTGCGACGCCTACAAAAATAGTAATAATGGCAATAATTAACAATTATTGAATGAGGCTGAGTAAGATACCGGTGCAGCGCTCTACCAATTAAGCTAACAAGCCAACTGGGAGCAGGTCAGTGAGTTGGTTCATATTAAACCCGTGAAAGGATGATGATGAAGTTATGAATATATGAAAATCATATATGAGAACTGCTCCCAGTTGGCTTTTTAGCTCAATTGGTAGAGCGCTGCACCGGTAACGCATAGGTCAAGGGTTCCAATCCCGTGCAAGCCTGAATTTTTTTCAGGCTTTCTTTTCGCAACTGCAAAAGTTGTCTCTATAACTGCGATGATCTTCTTTCATATAATTCTTCACCCCGCAGTTCTCATATATGATTTTCATATATTCAAAACTTCAATATTACATTGAGTAGCACAACTACAGAGTGTTTTGTTGTCTACTATGCCTTTTTTACTGTAAAGAGCCGTGCCTCTGAATAGGCGCTGCACTGTCTAAGCAACAATGCGGCACGTATTGATTAGTTTCGGTCCCTGCTTTCTAAGTCCTTAAAATGCTGTTATGGATGCGACCTGCAAGTTAACGATTTGTAAACACAAAAATAAAAAATAACATAATTTAGACAAAAAGGCACATTTTCCAGCAAATTTTCAATGTAGTCTATATTAGCTGTTCTTTTAACGACTATACCACATCTCTTGTAGTCAAAATATCTCTGGTCGAAACCTAGTTTTAACCAATTCCAGTCAGCATCACGATTTTTGCCCATGTTGCGCCACATCCGCCTGATAGATTAGTTAACATTTGTCTCGACAAATTTACAAAAATAAAACAGTGATAGAAATTATCTCACATTCGAGGTTCATGATGCCAATGTTGCATGACGCAACTTTGTACATTGCTTGAAAACTTCTTTGGATGATATTTCGTATCCTTAAACTGTAATGCTACCAGATTAAGCTTAGAAAATAAAACAGTTCGTTTTTATGGAGTTTTAGTACGCTGCTGGGTAAACAAAAAATTCAATTCTTTCTTTAAGTTACTAGAGTGACTTAAATTTGCAAGTGTATCTTTGTATTTCAGTCACGATTTGCTCTCTTCTTCGCTTTGCGATAATAGAAGTGTAGGGTCTGTGCAGGAGGTACATGATGTAGCCAGCTTCAATTAAATTATGAATTATGAAGCGGCATATTCTTATCCAAGAAGAAGCTTGGAAAAGGCCGGAATATTTAAAAAAAACTAATGTTAATATGTTCGTTAAATTCTGCGTTTGCCGTCTTGTAAATGGGAAGTGACATAATTTAGTCTTAAGTAAAACACAAACCTGCTTCAAACTCCACCGTTGTACATTCAGTGAGAAACTGACTGTCCCTCACCGTGATTTTACGCAACGCAAATATCAAGAGTGTAGTTAAAAGCAAATGATTTACCGTAGGTTGAAAGAGATCAATCCAGTGTCAATCCAGATCGAGGAAATTATAACAGAGGAACAAATAAGTTATCTTCCTTGTTTCCATAGCGGAGCGGGACCCATTAGCAACGCCAACTTACGACATTCAGACGTTAAATTTATGTATCTTATAGATGTAAGCAAACTTTAGCAGGTGCCAAATATACGGAATATGTAAATGAACTTCAACTTTCTTTTCATGGTAGATGTCAACATGGTCTTCAGTGAGAATACTTTTACACCACGGGCGTAACATAACTCACCCATATTCTACGTGAAGTCATGGAATATGTAATTTCTGCCGAGATGTAGTTAGTGACATTCTTCCCGTGAAATCGTGGAATGTTGGGTTCATCAGAGTTTCTCATTGAATAACCAGCGAAACAAAGAGAAAAAGATTCTCTGGAGAGATCTGAAATGCTTAAGTTACGGCGCTTTCCTCAGCCAGGGTTGATCTTTTCCTTCTCATCGAGGTAAAAAAAAGCTCTTTGATAAACTGGAAACGTTTGAGTCACAGACAAAACTGAGTCTAATAAGTCTAGTTTCGAAGAACTGATTTAGCTAATCAAAGAAAAGAAGAATGACACTCTCACAATTGGTGAAATTAAGCGGTATGTAATAGCATGTTGAAGAGTGTTATAGAACATTTTTAACCTCTGTAGGGGTAAATTGTTATTGTTGTTGATAATCTTGATAGAATAGAACCTCGCCGAATTCAAGGTAAATGAGAAAACAACTAAGTCACTGTGTTGCTTGCAACCCAACTACTGTACCAAGTTCTAGAAAAAGTAGTAAAAGTAGTACTCCTGAAACGATAAATGGTAGATGGATAATAATTCTTCCATAAAATACTAACATCAAGATTTCTTCCCATTATATTTTAGTACTTTCAAACAAAACCGTTGTAACGCTTACTTATACACACCAAATTTAATTCGTATTTTATCACTGGAATACACAGTAAACCCCATGATTAAGCGGACATTCTACATTACGAGGACACAACAGTTATAAACTAACACACTTTTGTCTGTTTAAGTGTAAGAAACAAACCTGAATTTATCAGTTAAGGAGACACATTAGAGATGTGCATGCGCTCATAAAAGGTATCACTGTGTCATGGTTGTATAAATATGATCAGTTATTTAAAAGCTTAGACGCTATCCTCTTTAATGCCTTTTAGGTCTGAACGACGCATTGACTTAAAATTATTGAACCTGCTCCTTGTTTTCCTAAACAGCGCCTTATGTTTTTGTATTCTTTAAATCTACAAGAAGCTTAAGTCTTAAGGTTGATTAATCCGTTGAGCTCGTCGTTATAACTACGGCTCAAAACTCAAGCCGTGTGGAGCTTGTGGTTTTTTAACCTTAAACAAGTGATCTCTTGATCAAATGTTAAGGAATGACTTCCCAGCTATTTACCATCACTATTTTAGGGGCCTCGTTTGCCGAATTGTAAATTGCGGTGTAATGACAGTCACGTTTTCTCACCGCTACTTCCAAGTAGTTTTTAGTTGGCTGTAACAACGTAGTTGTAAACCTGCAGTCTTGAAGACGTTGTTCGCAATAAAAAAAAAACAATCTTTGAAGAAAAAGGTGAGATCTCATGTGATCTCTCTTTTTCACTATGGAGCAGGAAATAAAACCTCTCAACCGTAAATCACATGATCAATCTAAAACGTTTCTTATTCTTCAGCCGTCACTTACCGCCGCAATTTCTTGTACTCTTTGAGATCTTTGTAATTTGGTCCAAACGCGTATAAACTACGGAGAAAATTAAAACAAATAGCATCAAATCAAAGCTTTCTTTGGAACTACTGCTTGTTCCTTCAAAATAGCAGCGATACGCATTCAAAGACCTAAACCCACCCAAGTGCAGTCCACATGACTTGTATATCCGATGAAATGTTCTAGAACGTTGGATCTCTCATGAAGGGCAAATTTACGGTTTAAAATTGGCGATTAAAAGAATAATAAGGAAAGAAGAGCAAAGATAATCAAGTACGTGGCGTTGGTGTATCTCGAAGGTCAATATAATAGAAACAAACCATGAGAACAGGTCATGACGGGTATTGCACAAGAAAACCACCAGCGTTGAACATTACTAAAAAAAGTGACAAAATTATTCAGTTTTCGATAAGAAATGATACAAAAACACCTATTTAAGGAATATTTTCAAGTTTGTTTCATCAAAGGTTGAGAGAAACGAACCTTTTACTCTCGAAAAAACCAAATTCTTTTCGCAAGTAACTCCATCAGATAAATAAAACATAGTGGTAACTTTTAATAATTCACAGTTAACCCTTCCCCGAAGAAATAACAAGTCGTAGAGTTCAACGAAATCGTCCACAGATTGAATTTCGTGTTGTTGTTTAGCGAGGAAGTCGTTTCACCAAATTTGAATGCTTAACCTGATCCACTCTGTGTAAGTCATGGAGCCTTTCCTTTAACTGAGAGAGCCTAGTATGACAGATTTTGTGAAGGTGTCAACCGGTCTCATCTCGTATACAAATGATGCAACCTTGTTATTGTTCTCTTTATCAAAACGAGGCTGGAGATTACTAAGTTATGAAGTCACATCATTTCAAAAGCGCCCAGGTCTCCCCGCATCCTTTTCAAATGCCTAATTTTCGTTCCTAAGTCTCTTGGTATTGGGTGGCCGGGAAAGGTCTGGGGACATCATAAAGTAATGTCTTTGCATCTGAATGCTTAGGACAAAAAAATGATAATACAGTGAGACCTCAAACCTCAAGGTTGCCAGTTTTGCAAAGGGACGTTTGAGGCCAGCTTCTGTTGGTCACAGGGAAGTAAGACGGCGTGATTTGATATCATCTTTTACGTGGATCTCAAAAAATTGCCAAAAACAAATTGAATTGAACTTCCCCCAAATTTTTATTCGGAATGATTGTTCACTGTGGTATTTTCTGATTCTTTGTTGCAAAATGGTGCTTCAAGGCACATGGTGAAAATCGCCACCGCTACAGAGCCAGGGCAAAAACAGAAGGCCACACGCTTTTGCCATTTTCTAAATAGTCAGCTTGCATTATTCCTCACAAAATCACAGGATTTTGTGTATAATAAGTAATACCACGAATTTGAAGAAAGGCCGCTTTAATTTTTCTGGCGCGGTTGTTTCACGCGCAAACTTGACCCTGATTAGACCCTTTACTATTGAACCTGTATGCAAAAGGGTAGCAAATCTCATTTTTAACAAAGGTGTCCACTATAAAAACGCGGACGCCATCTTGGTAATCAAGATTATTATGCGCATGCGTTGGCTCCTGTAGAAAGAGTCCTGGGTCATATCCTTTGGGACTTAGCTCTCGTCAATCGGATAAAAAATTGACTTTGTCACTTAAATTTGCCTGTAACACTGATCTCTGTCCAAACAAATTGTTGCATGATTAGGATTAATAATTGATATTTTTGTGCTGCAAAACTAGCCAAAAGTGCAAATAATGGAGCATTAATTATTTCGGAAAATAATGGAAATTGTGCTTGTAATGACGAATAATGCAAAAAATTATGTCAGCATAATCTATCAAAGGGTTCGATTTTAATGAAGAAATATGGTTCTGGGGGTGCAATAAAATATCTTTTAAGTCCCAAAGCTCGACTTCTACGTGCCCTAGCTAGCGAGAAACGGTTTTCAGCGTTTTACTCCCAATTTAATTCTCTTGCAAGCCGGTCGGAGATTCATCGACCAATTTACAGAGACAGATGCAGATGCTCTGGACGCCGCAAAATCTACCTATTACAACCAAAATTATCTACCGCTGATCAAAACCAGCTCAGCTTTTCCACTGATTGAATACTGATCTTCCACTTCCGTCGGCACACCGTCGCTGACTTCTCATTTAAGTTTGGCGGAAAGCTTTTTATGTGTAGTTGTCTACTAAAATCGAAAAATCTCTTTAAAACTATACAAGAGATCAGTTTGTTGGAACTGTTGTGAAACCAGTCTCTGAGAGGTATATCTCTGACCCACTACTTACCTCCGGGGGGTTACTCATGGGAATTCTTGGTGTGGGTGTGCCGCCCGGTTCTCCAAATCCTGACCCTATTTCAGACAAAAAAAAATTAATTTTCCACACCCGTTTACAGACCAGACCTCTAAAATCCATACTCGTTTCCAGACTGAGCCTTTAGGCATACTCTCTTTCCAGACTCTAGGAACGGAGCAAAATCCCTACCGATGGGGCGGCACATACCTATATAACTTTTTGGACAACAACAATAAGCTTTATTTGCATGACCATGACAAAGTATTACAGTATTGCAAAAGCTACTTGAAATTACCCATTGATTCCTTGTAAATTAAATATTTAAAATAATTTGAAACTCATTAATCATTGTTTATTTCTAACCATTAGTAGGATTAATTATTCCGGAGATAGGTTTGTCTCTCAATTCAAAGCAAGTTGATATAAATGAAATTAATTGGATGTTAATAAAATAGTCAGTAGAATTCATCAGATGTGATAATAAGGACTCATGTGATTGTAGTCGTAGAAACAGTATTTTAGGTTCTAGTTTAGAGAAGAACATGTCTCTTATCGAAGAAAAACTTGGACAATCTAATAAAAAGTGAGTTTCATCTTCAATTCTGTTACAATTGCAGAGATTGCATAACCTTTCGTCACGTGGTAGATTGTCGTATCTACCTGTCTCAATCCTAAGTTTGTGACTGCTTATTCTCAGTTTCACTAATGTTTTCCTAGAAGGGTTCTTTCTTGTTAAATCTAGGTAGACAGAAGGGCTATAATTCGTTTTGATTTTATAATAAAAGTTAAGTTTTTGTGAATGTTGAAGGGTATGATTCCAGTAAGTGATATATTTCTTTTGCATAAGATCTACATATTGCTTAATTTTACATTTATTCAGTAAATTACAATTAAAGCCTGGGAAATCATAGTAGTCAGTCATCTTCTTAAGACTGGAGTAAAAACTATTTTGACCACTATGATAAAGGTCAACAGATATTTTTAAAGATTGTTTAACTATAGAATTTTCATCTTTTTCTTGGAGATAGTTTAAGTAATTAAGTATCTTGTTATTTATATCAATGATCAGAGGGAATCTGCCAAGTTCAGATCTGCATGCAACATTGGATGACTTGTTATGGACTTCTAAATATCGTTTACAGAAGTGCAAATGAGTTTTTTCGATTCCGGAGTTATCCCATGACTTAAAATCTGATTTCACAAAGGCACCCCAAACTTCACTGTTGTAAGTTAAAATCGGTGAGACCATTGTGTCAAAAATTTTATTTGCAAGGGAAGGTTTCAGTTTACTAAAATCAGTGTGGCGTCTTAGACTAAATAGAGCATGAAGGGCTTTTTGCCGAAGATGTTCAAGTGAGAGTGTAAAATTTCCGGGAGACGAGATGCGAGTCCCTAAGTAAGTATAGTCTTTTACAATGTCTATCATTTCATTTCCTACGTGAAAAACATAATCACATTTTTTTGCGCCTTTTTGGAAAACCATTATTTTGGTTTTCTTGGGGTTGATTTTAAGCATCCAGGAGTTGCAATATGAAGACAATTTGTTTAGGCAATTTTGTAATCCTAGTTTCGATCGTGATAATATAATAAGGTCGTCAGCATAAAAAAGAGAATTGAGTTTGGTGCCATTTGGTAGCACAAACGGATCAGATAAAATATTGTTGAATGAAAAAGCTAGATCATTAACGTATAGGTTGAAGAGAAGAGGGCTTAAAATGCAGCCTTGACGCACACCTCTAGTGTATTGAAAAGGTTGTGTTTGGTTATTTCCAATCCTAATAGAACAGGTAGAGTTTGAGTATAAACTTTTTATGACTTTATAGAAGTTTCCTCGGACATTTATTTGTAACAGCTTGTATAAGAGTCCATCGTGCCACACCGAATCAAATGCTTTTCTAAAGTCCACAAAACATGCGTATACTTTCGTTTTGTGACAGTTAACGTATTTGTCAATTAATGTTCGTAGTGTAAGAACATGGTCAGCGGTTCGATTATTTGCTAAGAAACCTATTTGAGATTTATGAAGTATGTCACGCGACTGAATGTGCTTGAGAAGTCTATGATTGAGAATTGAGCAAAATAGTTTCCCAAGACAACTAGAAACACAAATTCCTCGATAATTTGCGGGATCACTTTTAGTCCCACTTTTAAAAATTGGTGTTATAAGGCCACCGCACCATGTTTGAGGCATAGTGCCTGACGTCAGAACAGCGTTAAATAACTTCAAATAAATAGGCATTAGTTCATTTAAGCTGGATTTGATCATTTCATTTTTTATTCTATCTGAATACGAAGATTTGTTGTTTTTGAGTTTGTTAGCCGCTGTGCGTATTTCGAGTTCAGTTATTAGGTAGTCCAAGGCATGCGATTGTGTTTTTGCGTCTTCTAATCTTGTTAACTCATCGATAATGGCTTCTTGGTGTGAATTAAGGGGCTCGTTTGAGTGTATTATTTAAGGGTGTACCCCCCCCCCCTCGGGTACCTACCACTGTTGTGTAACAGGCTGCAGACGTACTTGTACGCCCGCTGACTAAGATTGTTACTGTGTCTTTAAAACTGGTACATTTTCAGGACACTTACTCTACATGCTGATGAAATACAGTTAAAAGGCGCGAGTAAGGACTCAATTTAGCCAAAACAGGTTCTTATATGAATGTTCATTTACGCAAATTTAGGCTATTTAGGTTTTTAATAGGTTCTTATTTTCTGAAGGAAAAACATACATTTCAGCTAAGAGTATTTAGCGGTATTCAGCTTATTCCGTATGTAAAATCTCCATACCAATATTTATGTGGTATTAAATTTTTTATCTCAGGTAATTTTCCTTTGTTTCAACTTCATTAGCATACATTATCATACCCCAAAACAAAAGAAAAACAAAAATTACCTGAGATAAAAAATTAACTACAACATATACATTGCAGTCGGAGCGAATAAGGCACCTACGTCTCCAAAGAGGAATCTTGAATGTTGACTTACCTGATTTGTCCAAGTGTGCAGAATTTATTTACATTTATCGCCCTCGAAAAGTGTAAAAAAGAATGCAATATGCTTAAAATTATTCTGGTACAAGGTTTTTGTCCACTGAAAGTTAACATTACTCAATTTTCTAATGAATTCCGTTTTAAGACAGGTATGATCAGTAATTTAATTTATGATTGAGTGTCTGCTGCCCGTCAGGAAAAGAACCAGTTTATCTTTGGAGGAAACCAAACCTAAACCCTCCTGAAAACAGAAACAGACACTTCACATGAACCTCGAGGGAGAGAAGTGAAAAATTCTTCCGGTTGTATAAATTAACTTTTACATGAATCTTGAAAATTTCCTTTAGGTTACCTTATTTAAGGAGCATCGGGACTTTGTAGAATGCCCTATTAAAATATATTATTATTATTATTATTATCATTATTACTATTGTCATAACTACTATTATTTTCAATATTATTATTAACACCATGCATGAATTTTCCGACCACAAACAAGCCAAGTTCGCTGTAGCGAACACAAGTCCGGAGAGTTATTGCAATCAGTTTTGAAAGAAACTATTATTTATAAGGCGGGAGAGACGGACATGATAAGGTTCTTGCTGGCAAAAGGTTATGAAAACCCAAATGAGTCTGATCAGAAAACAACACCAAATAATGATCTTGTTACCCCCCCCGGGAGGGGGGGGTACTCCCATACATTACCTATACGGGTATGTGCCGCCCAACGGGATCGTGATTTTGAAGCTTCTGATTTAGATCTGATTTAGAACGGGGTACCCATTTCAGAAGAATTTTCTAGAACGGGGTATAAAAAATTGTGGATCACGGCTTTATCTTCTGCTTAAAATTGTTGCTGATTATGAAGAAGCATTTATTTGATGTATCGGTCGAACAAATAAAGAAATAACCTTTTTAAAAAACAGGGCTATTTCAATTTACAAACTTTCTAAAACGGAGTATAAAAAATTGACCCATTTCTAGAACGGGGTATCAGTTTTAGGGCGAATTCTAGAACGGGGCATAAAAAATTGGCCCATTTCTTGAACGAGGGTATCAATTTTAGGAGAAATTTTTTTAGGACGGGGTGCCAATTTGGAGTCCCGGGCGGCACATACCCACCCAAAAAATACCTTAGTGCCCCCCCGGGCTTGTCACGCGAACAGGTTCTTCCACTTTTTGTATCTGTAGCTCATCTTTTCCCGAACCAAATACGTTGTTACGACTGACGTCGCGGAACCTCGCTGCGATCATTTCAACCGGCTCTACTTTGGGTTTTCTAATCCTCAAAATCTCAAGCACGGCGTTCCTAAAAGGACGATCTCTATAGCAGTAAATGAGTGGATTTGCTACAGAATTTAGATACAAAAATGTGTCGTCTACACGCATCGCCAAACGTTGACGAAAGACTGGATAAATTCCTTGCAAAAAACCGCTAAGAATACGTGGGAAGAAGGAAAGAATTACGGCAATTGTAACCAAAGCAGTGGTCATAGCTACTCTGCGTTCGTGTTTTGCGTTTACTAACTCGCTGACTTGGCGAATTTGATTTAATTTGCGTTTGCGAACTTCAAGGTACACCATGACATAAAAATATACGATAAGACCTAGGGCAAACATAACCAAAATTGGAACAACGGTGAGGAAAATTTTAAGAGCTAAAAGCCTCTCATTGTCCCTCATCATTCCTGCGAACGCCGTAATGAAGACTGGTGGAGATACAGTTACTAGTGCTGATATCCAAGCTATTATCGCCAGCTTTTTCATAAGGCTTTGAGTCACCATCACTTTGTAGTCAATCCATTTTCGAATGGCCACGTACCTTTCCCATGCCATCATTGTCAGATGGAAAATCGAACAAATCGTGAGAATGACCGTGGGCGATATCGCAACAAAGTCCAGCACGCAAATGTAATAGTCGGTCAGTACTTGATAAGAGACTAACAGTCCAACCACAGCAGATAACGGTACACACAAACTTCCTACTAAAAGATCTGTAACGGCCAAACTTGATAGCAAGATGTTGGAAGTTCTCTTCAGTTCTCTCCTTCGCTTTACTGCTATGATTATTAGTGCGTTTAAAAGAACTGCAGGCGGCGAGATTATAAANGAACAACGGTGAGGAAAATTTTAAGAGCTAAAAGCCTCTCATTGTCCCTCATCATTCCTGCGAACGCCGTAATGAAGACTGGTGGAGATACAGTTACTAGTGCTGATATCCAAGCTATTATCGCCAGCTTTTTCATAAGGCTTTGAGTCACCATCACTTTGTAGTCAATCCATTTTCGAATGGCCACGTACCTTTCCCATGCCATCATTGTCAGATGGAAAATCGAACAAATCGTGAGAATGACCGTGGGCGATATCGCAACAAAGTCCAGCACGCAAATGTAATAGTCGGTCAGTACTTGATAAGAGACTAACAGTCCAACCACAGCAGATAACGGTACACACAAACTTCCTACTAAAAGATCTGTAACGGCCAAACTTGATAGCAAGATGTTGGAAGTTCTCTTCAGTTCTCTCCTTCGCTTTACTGCTATGATTATTAGTGCGTTTAAAAGAACTGCAGGCGGCGAGATTATAAATGCAACAGCGGCAAAAACCCACGGAGAAGTAGTGTCCTGTAAATCCCAAATTATGGGTGGTGCGTGTGAGCAATAAAACACTGACCCGGTTGTGTTGGGAAAGACTGTCGCTGTTTCTGTTTTGTTTGGGCCCATGGCAAACGCTTTTTTAAACTATTTAGTTTGTAAATGCTGCTGAACGCCTTTCTCCCGAGTTTTGACGCTTACTGGGCTTATGCTGGATTTAAGGGAAGAGACATGCTATTATACTAGTAATAGTTGACACTGTAGCTGCCCCCGCTCTGTCTATTGTCGGTCAATAATATTCTTGCTCGTTGTGTAGCTTTTTGAAATAAACCGATTCCTAATGAAGATTTTCACACAAATTCCATACAATAGGTGAGATAAAAACAGGAAACGCAAGGTTCTATGCACCGATTCAGTTCGATTTACGCAGAAAATTATATTGTACGTTCCTTGAGCTGCTTTTAGAAATTTTTGAATATTCGTTGAGAATTAGGCAGGATAATCATGGACAATAAGCTAAATGATGAGGTACCTGCATGTTTTGGACACTTTGGTAAATGACAATTAATCTGAGTTCATTGAGATTAACTAAAAAGCACTTAAAGAATCATATTCAGCTGCTATTAAAAGGTATAGTAAAAACAGAGAAGCTGTGGGATCTTTTCTAAAGTTCTACAGTTAATATTGTTGCTACCCACGCTATTAACGCCAGCTTTTCATAAGGCTTTTAGACACCATCACTTTGTAGTCAATCCATTTTCGAATGGCCACGTACCTTTCCCATGCCATCATTGTCAGATGGAAAATCGAGCAAATCGTGAGAATGACCGTGGACGATATCGCAACAAAGTCCATCATGCAAATGTAATGGTCGATTAGTATCTGATAAGAAACTGACAGTCCAACAAAAGCAGATAACGGTACACGTAAACTTCCTACTAGAAGATCTGTAACGGCCAAACTGCAGGGGCGTAACGTGAGATTTTGAATGTGTACACACTGGAAGAAAAGTCAGAGCGCCGAAGGCGCTCCAAACTAGGGGGCTCTAGGGTCATGCTCTCCCAGAAAATTTCTAAATTTATGGTCTCGGGAATATCATTTACTGCGCTTTCCGCCGGACATTTTCGATAAATAAAGACGAAGGAAAGTGTAGAAGCTAATGTACCCGTCTATAGTGTTATAGTGTTTACGGGTAAAAGGGCAAAACAGTGACGCCATCAAGTACTGGTTACAAACAAAGACGCTGATATAATGCGAAGAATTTAACCGTCATCCCAATTTAATGATAAAAACGCTTTCAAGAAAAAATACAAAATTTTTTTCCAGATTTCAGCTGTACGCACGGGCGTATGTGCGTTTATGGACGCTACACTCCTAGCAAGATATTGGAAGTTCTCTTCATTTCTCTCCTTCGCTTTATCCCTATGATTATAAGTGCATTTAAAAGAACTGCAGGTGGCGAGATTGTAAACGCGACAGCGGCAAAAACCCACGGCCAAAGAAGTAGTGTCTTGTAAATCCCAAATTATGTGTGGTGCGTGTGAGCAATAAAACACTGGCCTGGTTGTGTTAGAAAAGACTGTCGGGCCCATGGTACTAAACGCTTTTTTTAAACTATTTATTTTCTAAATGGTGCTGAACGCCTTTCTCCCGAGTTTTGACGGTTACTGGGCTTACGCTAGATTTAAGGGAAGAGACATGCTATTATACTAGTATTAGTTGACACTGTAGCTGCCCCCGCTCTGTCCATTGTCGGTCAATAGTATTCTTGGTCGTTGTGTAGCTTTTTGAAATAAATCGATTCTTAATGAAGATTCTCGCACAAATTCCATACAATAGGTGAGATGAAAACAGGAAACGCAAGGTTCTATGCAACGATTCAGTTCGATTTACGCAGAAAATTATAATGTTGAGAATTAGGCAGGATAATCATGGATAATAAGCTTAATGATGAGGTGCATGCATGTTTTGGACACTTTGGTAAATGACAATTAATTTGAGTTTAATGAGATTAACTAAAAAGCACTTGAATGTTCAAATTGAGCTGCTAGTAAAAATAATATAGTAAAAACCGAGAAATTGTGACATCTTATCTAAATTAAAGAAATGCCACCAACGTCTTTATTCATTTAGAATTCAACAGCAATGCAAACGCCAGGTGATGTGGAGGGCGTGCAAGATTATCACAATTCACCCCTGTTTGTCTATTTTCCCTGATGCCTCTGTATAGTGAGGAGCTCTTCATAGGGGGCTTTTTTGCGTTATAAATTTGGGTTCCTCTCTTGGGGGCTTATTTTCGAAATCTTACAGTATACTTATACTGAATTCCGTCTGCCAGGTTTCCAAAGCTTTATACTTTGGTTGCTTCTTCTAAATTTGGCAATTTAATTTTTTATCAACTGAACTTTATGTGTTTTTTGGCTCAGTACGTTTGGCAGTGCCTTTTGGAAAAAAACTCATGTCGCAATTTGTTCCTCTCTTTCATTCTTGTCAGGGGGTTCAAGATTTTAGCCTTTCGAACAGGGGCGAGTTTGCATATGCCCACGTTGCGTAATAAGGATGTCTCATTCTCATTTGCGTATTAAGGATGTCTCAACACAGGTAGCCCGAGCTCGAAATATAAGCATCGGCGAACATCGACATTGTTGCATAACATTCGAAATATAAGGATTTGTATGGAACAAAACCTATCGTTTCCGCAACCTACGAAAATGAAAAGATTTCAATAAAGAACAGCTTACCTTACATAAAATGTGTGTTACGTCTCTCCAGGGTGGTCCAGGGGCCGATTTATGGCCGTTTTATGGGTTGTACAGTAAACGGTTTTCTCTAAACCTTTATATAGAGAGAAAACCATTTACAGTACATCCCATTAAACGGCCATAAATCGGCCCATGGACCACACTGGAGAGACGTAACACACATTTTATGTAAGGTAAGCTGTTTTTTATTGAAATCCTTTTATTTTCGTAGGTTACGAAAACGATAGGTTTTTGTCCCATACAAATCCTTATATTTCGAAATCAATGTTACGCAACAATGCCGATGTTTGCCAATGCTCATATTTCGAGATTGGGCTACCTGTGGTCTCAATAGACCAATTTCGATATATTAAAATTCATAGTTGGCTGCGATGCTTGGGGGAATAAAACAAAAGAAGTGATCTTGAGGCTCAGCAATGAATATAAAATGCATTTCTTTTGTTTAATTCCCCCAAGCCTCGCAGCCAAGTAGGAATTTCAATATATCGAAAATGGTCTATTGGCAGCTGTCAAAACAGGGCATTCGCATACCAGTATCACATGACCGCATTACGAGCTCAGGTTTCAATAAGTTAATTTCGTCAATCCTAAGGGCGTGACTTGTGAGCTCTTTATTTTTCTCTCAGTTAATTAACTTCCTACATATATTACAACTAAATTTTTACAATTAATTTACGTAAGCTAACAGTCGATTTACAATATATAAAAAACATTAATGGAGATAATCAAAAAACACTAGTGCTGTGTTATTCTACCCTGACTTAAAAATGTTATCAATATTTTTTGAATATAATTAACATCATGATCAACCACATATTTACAATTCTTGCAAGAACTCTTGCCATACGGTAACAGACCTAAAGAGGAAAAAAAATGAAAAAAAGGCATGTGAATTCTAGTTTTACCAGGACAATTATGAACTTGCCAATGACAATTATGAACTTAAATGACAATTATGAACTTAAAGAATAGAACGTGTTCGACCAATAGGTAAACCGTTCTTTCAAAAGGCTTGTAAGGGCTACTTGAAAGTGATCCAATCGATTTTATTTAAACACGTTTGGCGATCGTTGCGACAGCGAATGCTCAGATGGTCTTCAGTTCTACTCTAAAGCCGGTTTTCCATAATCATTTCCGTTCCGATCACTTTGATCATTCACATTGCTGAACTTTTCTCATGGCGATCCTTGCTACAGTAGCGATCACATGGAAGCCAGTTGCTAGAATTGTGTTGTGATCATAGTTAGACACTAATGAAAAGCTAGTTTTCTCAGAAAAAATCACTTACTAAAGTCCAAGCCATCTCATCGTGCTGGTGAAGAAACCTTCAAGTTGGCTTACTGCATAGAATTATAAGAAACAAAAACATCAAAAAGGAAACGTGAATACTGGTGATGTTGTGATTATGAGAAGAAAGCTAAGATGGGGTTAGAGGAACAGGGTGGAGCTGCTGAGTACTGCTACTACAACGACCAACTGAGGTCGGTGTGGCCGTGCTAAGAAAAAAAAATAACCTGAGAAACCTTTCTTTGAGAACGGAAATGTTAGATTAATATTACGAGTGATGAATATTACGAGTTAACAAGGCCAGAAGAAAAGATTTTTACAATTTTAGTTGTTTTGAAAATCAGTTGATTTTCACCCACCATTTTCGCAAGAGGTGTTGACGTTGATGATGACGTTTGGTTGGTTGTTAAGGTTCTCGTTTGTCTGAGTCACTGTAGGTGCCGGAGGGTCTGAAACAAGAATTACATGAGAGGATGGTCGCGGAAGAGGCTTTGCTTCCTCTGCTGCAGACATGACAGCTGCTCCGGGCTGCTCAAGACTTTTGTCAGAGTCAGCTACAAATTAACAGAAAGGAATCTTAGACAATTTGAAAATACAATCGTGTGTTAATGATGGTTATCCTTAGCAGCCAAATTATGTTTCCAGGACGTTTAAGAATTGCGGGTTTTGTGTTTAAAATGACCAACTTAGGCGCTATGAAAAGTCAATTTAATTCATTTAATTTCACTTTTACCTTTCATTTTATTTTGTCAACTTTGCCAAAAAAACCAAATATAACAGCTCTATATCGGCTGCAAGTAAAAATGTGAAATTTGTTTTTTTGTAACTGGTTTTATCACCCATCATGGGGGCAATATAATGATTATCTGATGAGGAATATTTCAAGTGTGGAGTAGGTAGTTCTGATAAGCTTTATTGATCGAATGTCGTCATTTGGAAACAGGCCCAGCCAGGGAGGGAAGTAGTGGGATAACAATAAACCCAACTTTTTCCTCACAAGATTCCAATATACGTATACCTAAGCGTTATAAAATCTTTGATACCGAGTACCTGAAATTGCCTTGAAACAGAATATCGTACACCTATAACTGCTTAGTCAATTTGCTGGGACAGACTCTCCAACATTTTCAGGATGAAAAAACGCCATAGCAATAAACTCCTAGTCGCGAACCGCTTGGGGGCATGTATGTGAGCATACCTACTCTGAAAATGTAGTAATGCACTCAAAAACGCAACTAAGGCTGTTCACTTGCTGTTTTTTCCATTCTTTTGTCTGATAAAGGTGCGTATCAGAATAAATGTCTTCCCTTAATTTCAACTAATCAAATTTTAAGGTTTTTCTTACACCAACGGAACTGTTTCAGTTTTGGTCCATGTGATGTCTTGGAATCCCAACCCCCATTGCTGGTGTTTTTTTAATACCGTATGAGAGCTCTCAGTCTTAAGAGGAGAACAAGCGAAAAAGAAACCGTCCCCTTGTTTATCCTGCGACTACAGCCACCTTTCATTGCCTTCAGCCCGTAGAAAGAAGACGTCTCTTTTGCAAAACGTCCCTATCTCTAGCGACGGAAAGCGTTGAGACGGCGCTACAGCATTTCCGCCAGGCGCCCTCTGTTTCATTTAAGCTAAATGCTTACCTCCCAAGGTTATGCTGTGCGATTCATCATTTGTTCCTTTTGTCATCCTCTCCAGGTCCACTTTCAGGTTTCTAAGTTGCTCATTTACGAAAACATCCATCGTTTGCACATCTATTTCACGGTCTAAGAACAAAAGGTACCTGTTAATTTATTATCCTCTAGTTGAGAGCGTTTTTCGTAACTTTGTAGATAGTACAACCCCTAGAAAATGTTAAGCAGTTTTTTCTGAAGAACTACATCGTTTTTTTCCTTCAAAGAAATATTTTCCGCCTTTAGATCTTCTTCATTATCTAAAATATTTATGCAAATTGGGCATTTACCACCTTTGCGCAGATTTTACCCTTAGTTGCAGACTTTTGCACATGAGCAAATTTGATGCAAATCCATTTTTTTGTCCAGTTCGTGTAACCGGCCAGAATTGCCTGGCGTCACTTCCAACTGCTTATATGTATGTTATATTGAACTGTGAAAAGCGGAGAAACCATCACCTTACTATAACTATATAGTCTTACACATTTTTTTACTTAAGTTCAATCTATCATTGTTACGTTTTATCCCCTTTTTGCCGTTCGTCTAGAGCTGTCCAGTACGGTGTCCAGAAGATAATCTACGAAAGGACGCAAATTATGTATGATTTAAATCTTTTCGCAAATGGCCTTCTGAACACAAAGTTCTCGGAAGTCTGCTCCTTTTCATTGCAGTTAGCTCATGACGAAAGTTTTCATTTTCCTAATAGATGCTTTCTTGCTGTTTCCTGTCGCTTGTAAGCTATCTTTTGAAGCTTTCCTTGAAAGACTCAGTCTAAAAACAAGCCTGTTTAGGAAGCATTCGATGCTTCAATATTTTGTTCATGATCTAACACGGGCAAATTTAAAACAAGGGTTAAGGCGTTAAAGAAAAAAACAAAAACGTTGTTCCTTTTCATGTTTCTAAAAGAGTATTCAAGTTTACCCAGTTGTGTATAAACAGTAGAACTGATAAATTATAAACATCTGAAATTTGTCGTACCTTGACCGTAGGGAAGTAAAAGGCTTACCTCTAGAGCTGGTCAATTCGTTTTTAATTACAGCCAGCTCACAACAATGTTTTTCCTTAATCTCTTTTATGATGTTTTCTGCCTTCCTCAACAGGTTTGTCATCGTTTGCATCGTTTGCAGCTGCGTTGTCTGGAGCTGTCGTTCATTATCTGAAATGAGATAAAAACGAGTGGCTATTAACAAAGACGTGGCAATTACTCGAAATTACGACTGAGGAACTTCGTCCGTCAGAGGGCTCCTTTTGTCTCTGTTCTATTCAGTGAAATATCTTTGTAGGAACAGTTCCTCCTTTGAAAGGCTGAGGTTGCATTTTGGCTTTTATGATGTGTGTCAAGATTACCTACACAGCAATCGTCATTAAGTTTCTTTTTTTAACGTATATGTCGATAAAAATCACCTTGATAAAGGTAACCTGTACTTGAAGATCTACGACTCTAACTCGTCTTTTTATGACTCAAAATTCAGCTACACAAGAGAACCAAAATCTGATGTTTAGCTAAATACCTTGTTTTGTTTTCTCCTCAAGCGCCCTTTCTAGGACTTTGACATGCTTCTTTAATGATGCTTTCTCTTCTCTAAGATTTCGTTCACGACCTAAAGTAGAATTAAGCACGAACTTGACTATTAATGTCGGAAAATAACCAAAGCGTTTCCTTGTTTTTATTGACTTTATAAAAACCCTTTCATGGCCGGTTTTGTGTCACACGTCCAAACATAACAAAAACATCTTTCACTTCTCTTTCGTTTTCTAAGAGATGCTTTCCTTTCGGACTGTAATAAACAACAACTTGAAAAAAAAATCAACCTGCAACACTTTTATTGATCCATTCATGTTTTCCAGCCTAAAAACACCATTTGAATTGACCTCCAAAAATGGCTAGTACTTTAATATCCTCTTCAGAAAAGTATTTAAAAATACATTAATCTGCTCACGACAAGATCAAAAAATCATCTGAGTTGAACTAAAGATGAATTTAGAATAGCCACCATTTTCTGATATAAGCATTAAATTTGTTTGCTGATAGAGCGCCAAATGCCTTCACTCATTTGAAATGAACTATAAGCTGACACTAAAGGTAATTATAGAGCGCGCAATGCCTTCACTCATTTCAAATGAACCACAATCTGACATTACATATCACCTTTGCTTAGGTTAAGCTCATTGTTCATCGTTGATCTGTAGAAGTTTGCGGTTTCCAACTTGCTTTTAGCATCCTCAACTAATGATCTGATTAACTGCTGTTGCTTTTTATGGTTTTCCTCTCTTCTAACCAACACTGATTTCAGCTCTGTTATTTGGCTGGCGAGTGATTCGTTTGCTTTGCTTTGGTTTGTAAGGGAGTCTACAAATAGAAATTCATATCAGTCAAACAAGTTTGAGAATTAAGACCACTTTGGTCATTTCGTTTAATGACTATATTTTCTGATCGAAGAAGAGTCATGTCCGTTTTACATATTGAAATCAATACCTAACAGAGAAGACTTCCTCATTATTACCTTTAACTGATAACAGCTCCTTGTTGAGTTCTTGCAGTTCTTCTTCTTTTTTGTTCAATTTTTCTTTGGTCACAAAAATACACTTCTTTGCCCTCTTAATGAGTTTCTCCTTCTCTTCAAGTTTCCTCGTTAAATCATCTGCCTTTTTCATGCCCTCAGCTACCTTGTCTTGAAGACGGGCGTTTTCATTGCTCTTGGCTGAGTTCGAAAAACAAAACAAGAACATAGTATTTTAAAGTAAAGTACTAGTGATACGATACGTAACTGAAAGTTAACTCAGTTCCTCAGCTATAGTCAATGATCTAAATGATCTTTATTGGAGTATTCTCTACTTGAAAGCACGATTCGATTGAAAAGATAAATATTTTGTGTGTGTGTCAGTGGTCTCCAATAGTGCTTTATGGAAAGAAATAATTATGGAATAAAACATGTGCAGTAGCCGCCGTCGCAGTAGAAAGTTAATTTATTGTCGTTATCGAGAACCATTGAAAAGTGTATCTTCATCTTTTTTCGTCCCATGTAGGGAATCCGGATTCAGAAATTTTTGCTTCTGGAACTACAGTCCGGAATCGGGAAAAAAATTGAGGAATCCGGAATACAACTCAAGGAGTCCGGAATCCCACTAACGACTGGGAAATCCAGAATAGGCCATTTGCACCATGGCATTGTTTTACTACTTCGACCAGAATCCTTTACGTTTTTCCTTTCATACTTTAATTTGGTAATCCCAGAGAGGTTTCAATAACAAAACGCTAATTAGCACAAGAAAGCAAAAACCCTGAAGGATTCTGGTCATAGTAGTAAAATGACGTCATCATGCAAATGGCCTATTCAAGTTCCATTAACAAAGACTGGAATCCAGTTCCTGGAATGGTGTAGAATCCAGAATCCAAGACTGTCTTGGACTCCCTTATATAGGACAAGCGGCATATCTACAGGTTAGGCCACTAAGCTTACTTAGTAAAAAGTGCATTTTGGTGGTTAATATTTATGAAGTCAGGCTTATGAATCCACCTTTAGGTTAAGTTTCTGCAGTGACCATAAAAGGGTCAATCAATGTTATATCTCTAAAATTTAACAAACTAAACACCCCCATCAATTTCTTTCTCAGTGCTAAACAAGTAGCTCAAAAAGTTATTCGGAAACTGAACTAACCTAGTTAACCTAGTGTTCATTTGAAATATGAATTATGTTTTACTTTTTTAAACTCGAGAAAAATTAGGAATAAAAGATTTTCAGTTTTAGCTACACGAAATTTTCCGTTAGCCACAGTCTCTGCGCCATACATATATTTTAAACATTTGGTTTTACTTACGAGGCAGTTAACATTGAGGAATCTTTTACCTTCGCTATAAACCAGTGAAATTGCCAGTGCAGTGTTTTATTCTCACAAAAACCAAATGTGTTTGGAAATTTTTGCAGTACTCACCGTTACACTGTGCCTTAAGAACTGCGATTTTTTCTTCCAGTTCTTTTTCTCGGTTATACTGGAAAAAAAGGAATTGTTTAATGACACAAAGGAAGACATGTAAAAGTTAAGAATGGCAAAGAGAGTAGAAAGACTGAGAAGCATAGCAATACTTTTTTCAACGTGATTTGGCTCGCCTAGAAGAAACACTAAATTTTCTAATGTAGAGTTTAAATTCCTTTACAAACGATTATTTTTCTTTGCATGGTTTAATACTGCTCGCGCCGGTCACACGCCTTCGTTAATGACGCAAGATTTAGAACAGATTTCATGCCAGTTGCGTCATAATTAAAAAACTGTTCGCGCTTGCTTCTTTTTTTATAGTTAAACTAACATAAATTCACTTCCAGCAAGATTAAAATAGTTCTTATGACCATGAAAAGAAAGTCCTGCATTACTGTTACTTTAAGACTGAAAGAACAAAATTTTCCTCGCTTGAGTGTAACCATGGTTTAATTTGTTGATACACAGAAAAAAGAAATTTCTTTTTTTTTTTTGTAAGTTGTGGGCATCTTCGGGGGAATTCCTTTTTCTTGCAAGCAGTAGTGTCATCTCCGGTGTCAAATAATTACTACCGCTAGACTAGCGTTAACACTGATCACTGATTGCTAAATAAGAAAGAAAGAAAGAAAAACCAGAGAGGAGGGAATACGCACCTTTTTAGCCATGGCTCGGGCATGGCATACCTCAAGTGGCTCGTAGTTGTTTGTTGGAAGATCAGTGACAACCATTCCTTTACAAAGTGCCGCATTCCGGATACGATGCGTCGCTGCATTCTCATCCTCTCCTGTAATTGAGTTGTAAACGTAGTTTAGCATGCCGCTTGTAGCGCTCGATATCCACGAAGTGTCCATAATGTTTGTATTACGACAAGCGTTTAACACCGAATGAAAAAAATTCACTGTGTGCTGTTGTTATGACAACACCACGGTAACAGATTATGTCGTCATTTCGAACGTTTACAGGAGGAGCGTAGCCTGGGATGTAAAACCTTTTTGCGTTCTCCGTTACAACTCTTAAAAATTATGTAGACATAATCAACAAGAGAAAAAATTAAGGGTTTCTGCATTGCTACTCTTTATCGTTGGAACGAAAAACTTGGGGCCGCGCAAGTAATTTAAGGCATTCAGCCACTCATCCTCGCTAAGTTAATTTCAATTAAATCGTAGATACTTTGGTTTTTGGCCATCTTAGCTTAAGAAACAAAAAGCAAACTGCGGTGATAAACAAAAGGAAATATAAAAGCATTTCTGGAAAGAAAAATGACTTTAACTTGACGTTTCGTTTGTTCCAATATACATCTTCGGAAGTAAGAAACTGTTGAATAACAACAGAAATTTAAATATAGAATAAGTAACTAACTTATTCTATTATTTTATCAGCTGCATTATCAGGCTTATCCTTTCATCCCTAATTTATGTATTATTTCATAAGATTCGCCTATAATAGAGATAATTATTTTGAATCCTATTTTTTATTTGACATATTCTTTTAATTGTGAGTTTCCCCGTAAAATAGCTTTTTAGCTAGGTGTTAATTCACATAAACAAACTGTTATGTCATGTTATGTTAATAAGCTCACACCTTTGCTTCAGCTATCACAATTTCGGCAACCACTTTTCTGTTTTTTTCTTGGGGACATTATGTGTCGCAGTTATAGTGGCCGTTATAGTAGATACAAGGATTGTAAAGTTCAATACAAATGCAACAAGTTGATAGTAAAAAGCTTGGAAGTCGCATTTGTATTTTCTCGGCCAAAAAGTGTCTCTCAGGAGTCTCAGCTTCAGCAAAGTTTCAAATCAAAAGTAAACGATATGAAATATTACGCGCAATTTGAAAAACCTAAGCGCGTGATTGTGCTCGAAGAATGAGATCTACGTGATCTCGTATACAAATACGGACCTTTCAGAACATATAGTATTCTTTTCACAATCAAACCTGAGGAACAGAGCTACACTTAAGGCCTGTTGACACACATCTTTTGTGCGAATTTTCCATGATTTTAGGCAGGCTAGTTAACTATGAGTATTAAAAAACACAGAAAATCGCATCTTTGAATTGTCAGCTCGCACCGCATTGTTGTGGATGTCTCCTAAAAATAATGTCTTACAACTGATAAAAGACCTATCCCACTGATGAAGTGTTAAGACAGTTAAAGGAAATTGGAAGGAAAACTTAGAGATATGCAGGAAAAAAAACACGTTCTTGATATCCGTCGCTGTATTTTCTGTAATATTTACCGAAAATGTCGCCGAAAATTGACGTTTCGCGGGAGGAGTCAGAGAGGGTCATGGGTACTAGATTCACTTTCCCGGATGGGATTTCTAAAACAGTAATGGCGGACAGTGTACTTAGCAACAATACAGCTTGCATAAGCCGAGTTTAGCCGCTAGTTCTGTCAATTTATTTGGTTCTTTCTGCATTTTCTTAGAATACAGACAGAGATGATCAAAGAATGCCATCTGGGAAGGTAAGATACGTTCTTTGTGCTCGCAGTTTCTGGCTGGTTCGTTGCTATGTTGCTGTGTCATGAAAATGGATCGAGAAATTTAAACTTATAAAAAGCTTAATTTGCCATTAGAATGATAGTGCAGTTCCTTAATTTCTGATTTTGTATTAGTCTCTATACATTCGAAGTTTCTTTAAAAAAATTTTTGTCTTACTACCTGGAATATTTACGTGTATCATTGGTTGTAAAAAGGAGTGCAGGTGTAAAAATCGTACATGATAAATTGTTATTTTTGAGTTAATGATCAGCTAGGTCAAGCGAAAAAGTTATTTTAAACCTGCTTTATGTATAAAACCTATGTCATGTTCTATAAGATCTTTATTTCTCCAGGGGGGTACTCTGGATTTGAAGTGACAGGGATGATCGATTGGGGGCAAAAATCAAAACCCCAAAAAATCTCTGGACCAAAATTTAACCCCCCAAAAATCCCATACCGAATTTCCGAGCCGTAAAAATTTCCAGAAAGCAGAGACAGGCACAGAGCAAGTTTGGTTTTACTTTATTCATGGCAATGCGTGGCTGGGCATACGTGGGAATTATCACAATCTTTGGATTGTTATGAATACCCCCAAAAACCCTACTTAAAAGTATAAACAAAGCTACCCCAAAAAATACTTGCCAAAATTTTCCTACCCAAAAAAATCCCCAAATTGAAAATTTGTAAACCCCAAAAATCTGGAGTACCCCCGCCTGGGGGGAGGGAATTTCCACTTTTGCAGCCAGCATTCAATGTCACAAAGGCCTTTTGAGGCCAGTTGTCTCAACTAATTTTTTTTTTCTGTTGTATATGCTTAAGTTTTGTTTCCAGATGTATTGCATTGTGGTCCAGTTGATTAAAAACTTTGTAAAACAACAGTTAAGATTTGTGATGCAAAACATTTTAAAGAGAAATGCTTACACTTGTAATTTTTAAAAAACTTACACTTGTAATATCTGACAAAAGCAATGAACAGCATCTTGGAAAGAGTGAGTCAACCAGACCTCAAAACATCAATTGTACAACATTGTCTCTGTCATTGTTTTTCATCCTCAGCAGACTTAAATAAACTGTAAATATAATTATTATATTTACAGTTTAAAACTTGTGTAATTGTAAGCCACAAACGTCTCTGTATTCAGCAGTAATTTTCAAAGTAAGAAAATCAAAAGTATCTTTAAGAAAGTAAACTAAGGTTTACTTATTTTGTATTGTTCATGATAAGCTTCGTTTTTGCTATGTATTTACAGCGACTTTAACATTAATCATCTCTGAAATCACCTCTTAAAAGCTTCTCACTAATCCAGTAATTGTTGTTTTTATTGCTAAAGGTTGTAGATTAGTACACTGAAAAAGGCAACATTAATTTGAGCAGAAATAGGAGGATAATGTCAGAGCAAGTCATACGAAATTATTTAATGTTCTTTGTAAGAAAGCAATTCCTTTGTAACCAAGTAGTTGTTTAAAGGTATTTTCTGGTCATCAGGAACTCTCTGATAACATTTTGCAAAATTTAAAAGTTACTGACTTCACTGATATGTTACTGAGATTTTTGGAAGCTTCCAGTAGGAGATCAATCCCATCTATTAGTATGCTGTTTGCCCGAGTTCACATGCTGAACTTTTCATGAGCTGTCAACCTAGTCAAAGTGAAAGTTGTTTGAAACTTGCTCCAAAGGCAAAATTCCTGGCCCAGCTAGATTGGAAGAATGGGTGAGCTGTTCCTAACTGAAATACTGGTAGGCATTCCTAGTCGATTCAGCATCTGAACGTGGCCTTAAACTCATGCAAAGCATAAAATACAATTGGTTAGTCATTTGCCTGGCAAGTTCTCCGGAGTAAGGTGATATTTATTTTCTCACATGTGATGGAAAGATGCAGTGAACAACCACAATCATAACTGCAAGCAGCTTTGGGGGAGGAATAGAGATTTCATGTCAGTTAGAGTTAAGCTGTCTAATAAGAAAGATAAAACTCTGTGACTTTTAACATTAACCGATGAACAAGTTTTCAGATTACAACATAAAGAAACCAACAAATTGTAATTTTAAAAATTTTGTAAGTAAAATATTGTAATTTGTTTACCCATGGAGCACGTAGGAGTTCTTTGTGTCCGTGCGTTCCAGATCGAATTGGAATTTGGAAGTGTTGGTTTTTAAGGAGAGGGGAAAACCAAAGAACCTGGAGAAAAACTTCTCGGAGCAAGCAGAGAACCAACAACAAACTCAACTCACGTATGGGGTCGACGCTAGGTTTCGAACCCGGGCCACACTGGTGGGAGGCGAATGCTCTCCCCACTGCTCCACCCTTGCTCCCAAAAAATATTACTTATAAAAGCAATGATAAACAGCAAAATGGTTTTGCGTAAAAAAGTTATTTGTTATTTGTTATTTGTTATTTGTTTATGATGACAGCTATTAGTCATTTTTCTTACCTCACACTCAAATATTAATTTTACGTGTACAGAAAACCAGAGGAGATTGTCTTGTAGTTAAGCTGCATCCTAGATTTGAGCCTAGAATTTAGAAAAGGTGCAGCTACAGTCAACTCTTT